CTCCAACATGCTTCAAACTTTATCTTCTTCTTCTTCTTCTTTTTTTTTTTTGCAAGCAAAATAAATGCAAATAAAGGTCAGAGGCAGCCTCGAAGAGTAATGCTGTCAGAAAGGGGTCCCGAGGAGAGGAGGCAGGAGGGGAGTGACAGGGCTTGGTTTGGCTTAAGGGACTAACAATGCCTATGAAAACCTCTGGCCTTCATGATTTTAATGTAGACTATTTTTTAGAGCAGTTTTAGGTTCATAGGAAAATTGAGGGGCAGGTACAGAGATTTCCTGTCTTCCTCCTGCTCCCCCCACATGCACAGCCTCCCCCACTGATGTGGTACATTTGCCGCAGTTGATGAGCCCACAAGACACGTTGGGGTCCACTCTTTGTGTTGGATGTTCTATGAGTTTGGACCAATGTTTCATGGCATGCGTCCACCATGATAGTATCATACAGAGTAGTTTCACTGCCCTACAAATCCTCTGTGCACCACTCAGTCACCCCTTCCTTTCTCCAAACTCCTGGCAACTACTGATCTTTCTACTGTCTCTGTAGTTTTGCCTTGTCCAGAATGCCATAGAGTTGGAATCATACATGCTATAGCCTTTTCAGATTGACTTTGTTTACTTAGCATTATGAATCTAAGTTTCCTCCATGTCTTTTCATGGCTTGATAGCTCTTTTCTTTTTAACACTAAATAATATTCCATTGTGTGGATGGACGTGGGGGTTTGTTTATCCCTTCATTTACTGAAGGATTCTTGGCTGCTTTCAAGTTTGGCATTATGACTACAGCTGCTGTAAACATCTGTGTGCAGATCTTTGTGTGGACATAAGTTTTCAATTCCTTTGGGTAAATAGCAGGGTGTGATTGCTGGATCATGTGATAAGCGTATGTTTAGTTTTGTAAGAAGCCATCAAACTGTCTTCCAAAGCAGCTGTGCTCTTTTGCATTCCCAACAGCCGAGAATGAGAGTCCCTGCCACCCATCCCCATGCTCGCCAGCATTTGGTGTTGTCAGTGGTCTGGATCTGAGCCATTCTAATAGATGTGTAGTAGTGTCTCACTGTTGCTTTAATTCTCACTTCCCTAATGACATAAGATGCGGAGCGTCTTTTCATATGCCTGTTTGCCATCTGGATATCTTTAGTGAGGTATCTCTTAAGACCTTCAGCCCATTTTTTAATCAGGTTGTTTTCTTACTGTTGAGTTTTAAGAGTTTCTTGTTTATTTGGGAAACAGTCCTTTATCAGTATGGCTTTTGCAAATATTTTCTTCCAGTCTGGCTTGTTTCTTCATTCTCTCTTTTTTTTTTTTTTTTTTTGAGACGGAGTTTCGCTCTTGTTACCCAGGCTGGAGTGCAATGGCGTGATCTCGGCTCACCGCAACCTCCGCCTCCTGGGTTCAAGCAATTCTCCTGCCTCAGCCTCCTGAGTAGCTGGGATTACAGGCACGCACCACCATGCTCAGCTAATTTTTTGTATTTTTAGTAGAGACGGGGTTTCACCATGATGACCAGGATGGTCTCGATCTCTCGACCTCGTGATCCACCCACCTCGCCCTCCCAAAGTGCTGGGATTACAGGCTTGAGCCACCTGCGCCCTGGCCTTTTTTTTTTTTTTTTTTTTTTTTGAGATGGAGTCTCACTCTGTTGTCCAGGCTGGAGTGCAGTGGTGCAATCTCAGCTCACTGCAACCTCTGCCTCCCAGGCTCAAGCAATTCTCCTGTCCTCAGCCTCCCAAATATCTGGGATTACAGGCACCTGCCACTGCTCCCAGCTAATTTTTAGTAGAGATGGGTTTTCATCATCTTGGCCAGGCTGGTCTTGAACTCCTGATCTCGTGATCCACCTACCTCTCAAAGTGCTGGGATTACAGGTGTGAGCTACCATGCCCAGCCATTTCTTCATTCTCTTAAGCCTCAGATCTTTTTAGGCCATCTTGGGTAAGCCTCATCTGAACCATCCCTCCCCTTTTTATACTTCCTTTCTAGCCACCAGCAAGGGAGAGGTCACCGCTAACTGCAGAGGTCCCCAGTGAGTTTCTTGGCATTTAGTGGGAAGAGTTACCCTCCTGGGACACATATCAACTGCAGAAATCATGGCAACCATGTTGAAAAGGAAACCCATAGCACCTACCTGATTATACAGCTGCCAACATGGTGACCTACTGATGTCACCGTCACAGATCAGATGTGAACTCTCTGATGTAAACAACTAATCTGTTCAGCAATTCAGAAATCAAATGTTAAAGAATTCTTACTTTTTAGCAAGGACAGTTCAGGACTGAGGCATCTTATTAGACAAAGATATTACCAACTAATTCTAAGCCTTGTCTACTCTGGTGCTACATTCAACTCATAGCAGACTTGCGTGATGAGAAATGAGACTGCGGGGTTTGTGTAGAATTATATAGATGAGTGTTCTAACCAAAGCCAATCATATAATGATTGAGGACTTCAGCAGAGCAAAAAGAAGTTGGCTAGATTTCCAGAGAAAGCTCACTTTCAGTCTTCAAGACACAGAGATCCTTCAACAAGACAGGGATGAAAAGATACTGCTATTACTACTCAGTGTATTTCATGAATCTCTGTGTCTTTGGGAGTTCTGTGAGCACTGATATTACTTTCTGGGCGTAGGAATGGCACCATTGCACCTGCGACTGATTGCTTGTGATTTCCCTAGCATTTTCAAATCCATCATCTTGTCTGACCCTTATGCTATCCTGCTGGATATTCATGTGCTCATTTGTTCATTTATTTGGCAAATGTGTATTATTCACATTTGCTCTATGCAGTTGCACACTGCCAGGCCAGCACAGCTTGATACAGATCGGGAGAGTTAGGTGGTTCGTCCTAAACTCTCACCACTAGTGACAGCCAAGTCAGGACAAGACCCAAGAGCTTCTAGAGCCCTGCTCTCTCCTCTGTCCCACATTTCTACCCCTCCTGAATCCAGGCAGCCTTAATACCCCATCCCTCTATTCACCCCTTTATTTGCCTCTGCTCTTCAGAGACTGAAACACCATGATGACATTGCTGCCATTAGATTGCTTGCCGATGAGTCTGGATTATGACAAGCCATGGAAAAATAGGCTGTTCGACAATTTTCTTCCTTGAAAATTGATGTCGGTAGAGGGGAAAACAAACAACCACAGAAACATGGCATGCTCACATGCAGAGCACCTGCAAGCTGGTGTTTGTGATGCAGCCAGCCTGTCCTGAAGAGAGTGCTTAGTCAATTCTGCATGCGGAGTGTTGCTTCTGTTACTGTTATTATTGTATTACGTACTCCGTCTATCTCCACTTAATCTGCAGATTAACCTACACCCACCTAGGAAGCTGACTGAAGCCCATAGCACACTGATTATTCACAACTTGTGGGTCACTCTGGAATACCAGACCCTCCTGCTCCCACCTGCTGAACGGCCATGTTTTGTCTTTTTTTTTTTTTTCTTTTGAGATGGAGTCTCACTCTGTTGCCCAGGCTGGAGTGCAATGTTGCAATTTTGGTTCTCTGCAACCTCCGCCTCCCAGATTCGAGCAATTCTGCCTCAGCCTCCCAAGTAGCTGGGACTACAGGCACGTGCCATCATGCCTGTGTAATTTTTTGTATTTTTAGTAGAGATGGGTTTTCACCATGTTAGCCAGGATGGTCTCAATATCCTGACCTCATAATCTGCCCACCTCAGCCTCCCAAAGTGTTGGAATTACAGGTGTGAGCCACCACACCCTGCCTGAATGGCCATGTTTTCTAAAGTCCATGAGTGCTCCCGATTCTGAGTGTGAGCAGATCTTGTCATTTAAAACATTCACTATTATGTTAACTGGCAAGAAAAACATGAGTTTGATCATCATTATTTCTATGAAAACTATTGAATACTTTGGGATGATTCAAGGAATGAATTGCTAAAACCTTTTTGGTATTGAAATTGAGGTGAGTGAGACACCTGTGATAGGTGGAAGGAAGAAAACCCTAGAAGGATCCTACACTGAGACTGCTTGGCAAGTGACTTTTAGTTTTCATTCCACGTTAAAGAACACAAAGCTGGAAACTTTATGTAAAGCATTAATGATACAGTTGGTGCAATCGGTAGACTCAGTCTCAAAGGACAGGCCCCAGGTTTACATAGGAAAGTTGGTGTTGTTACAGCGAGTGGTGGGTGGCTCAAACATCAGGAAAATGCATCACAGGATCGGTATTTTAGAAGCATCAGTGGATAGCTTCTACAACTCAGTTTTTCTGAATATTTAGTTCATTAGTAGAGAAAATCTGATTAGCTAACACTTCTGTAATATTGAAAAATGTCTAACTTATAAGATGTTACTTCCGTAAATGGTGGTGCTAGATTAGAGCATCAGTGGGGAAAATTCCCAGAGTAATGCTCCTAAGAGGTGCCCACCCTTCAGGACTGGTGACATAACTGGCATAGCCCAGTGGAAAATGAAAAATGTTCCTCTTTTGTAAAAATAAGAATTTCATGATGGCAGCAAAGCATTTAGCCCAGCGTGGGGCTCTTGAGAGCATAAGGCCTTGTGCAGCTGCACAGGCCCATGGACACCACTCTGCTGCCGCTTAAGAATTGCTGCTTGTTGTGATTGGCAGATCAGTGTAACTTTTTTTGAAAGTTTAGTCTCTATCAGTTTACTGTATCTCACAAGAATCAGCATGAAGGGACTTGACCAAAGGTTGTTTTTGTCATTAATTGTAACTTTGTTAAAGAAACACTTGAAGAATAAACCTGTTTGAGAATCTCCTAAATCTTTCTAGGTAACTGTCTTTTACACCTTAATGGTCGGGAATTTAAAGGCCTAGTTTTTGCCCTTTCACAAGCCTCATAGCCTTCCAAAAATAATATATATTTTCTTTTTCTTTTTTCTTTTTCTTTTTTTTGTCTTTGAGACAGGGGTCACTCTGTCACCCAGGCTGGAGGCGTGATCACAGCTCACAGGGAGCCTCAGCATCTCTGGGCTCTGACTCACCCTCCGCGTGTTCTCCCTTCCTCTCCCCACAGGAAACGTGACCGGAAACAGTAACTCCACGTTCATCTCCAGCGGGCAGGTGATGAACTTCAAGGGCGACATCATCGTGGTCTATGTCAGCCAGACCTCACAGGAGGGCGCGGCCGGCGGCGGCGGCGGCGGCGGCGGCGGAGGAGCCCGTGGGCCGCCCCGTCCAGGAGGAGACCCTGGCGCGCCGCGACTCCTTCGCGGGGAACGGCCCGCGCTTCCCGGACCTGTGCGGCGGCCCCACTGGGCTGCAGGAGCCGGAGAAGGCCTCGCGGCCGGTGCAGGAGCAGGGCGGGGCCCCGGCCTAGCGCCCCCACGGGGCCGGGAGCCCGAAGCCTGGAGCCAGGGTCGCCGACCTGGAGCGCGCGGCCGTGCCTGAGCCGAGCCCGGCCCGGCCTGCCCGACCCCGCAGCTCGCGAAGGGCAGCACGGCGGCCTCCGCCCCAGCCCGGGCCACCCAGGGATCGATCGGTACAGTCGAGGAAGACCACCGGCATTCTCCGCCCACCTCGCCCTCCAGGAAATGGGCTTTTCAGAGAGTGATCAGGTGTTCCCCCACGCCCACGGCTGCTCAGCAGACCCTCGCACAGGGGCAGATGCCTCCCCTGCCACCCCTCAAACTCGCAGCAGTGATTTGTGGCCCTATGACAGCTGCTTTTATGACTCCTGTTCTGTTTGGCGGGAGGGGGGAGGAATCTCTGCCCCCCCGCCCCCCATATTTGTATTCCTGGTGACACAGTCTCGCTGTCGCCAGGCTGGAGTGCAGTAGTGGGGTCTGGGGCATTGCAGCCTCCGCCTCCCGAGTTCAAGTGATTCTCCTGCCTCAGCCGCCGAGTAGCTGGAACTACAGGCGTGTGCCACCAGCCCAGCTAATTTCTTGATACCTTCCCCCCTCTTTTTTTATTTAAAAGTTTTCTCAAAAATTCTCTTAATGGTGAGGGTCTCTTTTTTTGGTCTCTCTCTTTCTCTCTCTCTTTTTTTTTTTTTTTTTGGCACCCGGTTCTGGCCCAGGCTGTAGGGCAGTGGTGAGATTATAGCTCAGTGCAGCCTCTAACTCCTGGGCTCAAGCAATCCAAGTGATCCTTCCACCTCAACCTCCAGAATAGCTGGGACCACAGCGGCATGCCACACCCAGCTTCCCCCACCCCATCCCCCCACACCACCCGCTGGTAGAGACATGGTTCCACCATGTTACTTACCTAGGCTAGTCTCAAACTCCCCAGCTAAAGCAGTGCCTCCAGCCTCAGCCTCCCAAAGTATTGGGATTACAGGTGTGAACCCCCATGCTGGCCTCCTTTACATATTTTCTTTTGTGCCCCTTCTCATAGCATTTCGGAGATGGCTTTCCCAGTGTGTGTTCATTCTAAGCACTTTTGGGAAGAGGCTGAACATGAGAGGCCTGGAGATAGTTGCTAAGAACATGTGGTGGGACTTTCATTTTCTGAAAAATGCTCTGTATTCTCATTTTTCTAAAAGAAAGAAAAAGGGGGGAAAATCCTATTTTTTTTTCTCCTGTATGTTTTTAAGTTTCTGTCAGTCCTTAAGCAGAACCAAGTTTGTTATGTGACCTTTCCCTAGGTGGCTAATTCATCCATGCTGGAAGAAGCACTCAGGTACTTAGTCCCCAAATCTTTAAAACTCCAAGTTGCTGCAGCTTGGTATTTTTTTTTTTTTTTTTCCCCTTCCAGACGGAGTCTCACTCTGTCACCCAGGCTTGAGTGCCGTGGTGGGATCTATGCTCACTGCAACCTCCACCTCCGGGGTTCAAGCGATTCTCCTGCCTCAGCCTCCCAAGTATCTGAGACTACAGATGTGCGCCACCATGCCCAGCTAATTTTTGTATTTTTAATAGAGACAGGGTTTCACCATGTTGGCCAGAATGGTCTCCATCTCTTGACTTCGTGATCCACCCACCTCAGCCTCCCAAAGTGCTGGGATTACAGGCATGAGCCACTGCCCCCGGCCTAACGTTGACATTTTAGTTTGCACTTTCCTTGTCTAGATAAGAACAGCATAAATGGGTCCTCTTTTATCCTAAATAATCGTCCATCTGTAGGTTAGCCTTGTAGAAGTGGAAAACATTCCATGTTCCAGTGCATTAAATTTAAAGTCAAATCCACACGTTGTGAATTTAAGAAAACTTATTCTCCTAAAGGTGCCTTTTTCTTGGCTTCATCCTTCTTGTGAGAAACCTAGACGATGCTCCAGATGGAAGGAAATCCCTTGGGTGGTTTTATCTTTTGTTAGCCAGTGAGTGCTGGTTCCCCGCAAATGCTGGAGAAAAGCAAAAATACGCAAGCAAATTAAAATTACTTGTGCACATCTGGTAGGTTATAAAAGCACTAATCGTGGTCACTGCCCAGACTTTATTGGCCACAAATGCCCAGCTGAAGAGCATGACTGTGGATCACTGGTTTTTCCCTTCTGCTGGGAATGCTGGGGTGGTAGCGCTTGATTAGGATTTTCAATGGAGAAGCAAAGGATGGTTCTGGAATTTATGGGACTCCTTCGCCCACATAAAGAACTGCAGGAAATAACTGCACAGCCAGAAGGATCTGTTGGTGGGAATTTACCGTCTCTCCGGCCCTTTTGCTTAACATCCATCCAGAGAGATGTTGTACAAATGGAGGAAACCGTTATACCTTTTGAAAATAATTCTGGAATATATGACAGTTACAGTTCACAAAGCAGAATGCTGAGATAAAAACCCGAGTTCCTGCTGTGATATCATCTCACTGAGCACTTCACCTTTCTTTGTTTTTATTTTTCCTTCTATAAAAGGGGAATAGGCCGGGCGCGGTGGCTCAAGCCTGTAATCCCAGCACTTTGGGAGGCCGAGGCAGGTGGATCACGAGGTCAAGAGATCGAGACCATCCTGGTCAACATGGTGAAACCCCGTCTCTACTAAAAATACAAAAAAATTAGCTGGGCATGGTGGTGCGTGCCTGTAATCCCAGCTACTCAGAAGGCTGAGACAGGAGAATTGCCTGAACCCAGGAGGCGGAGGTTGCGGTGAGCCGAGATCACGCCATTGCACTCCAGCCTGGGTAACAAGAGCAAAACTCTGTCTCAAAAAAAAAAAAAAAGAAAAGAAAAGAAAGGGGAATAATGATAATTTATAATAGTTTCCCTACCCAGAGATGGCAGAAGAATGCTATAATGAATGTTAAAGTACTGTGAGCTCCTTAAATCAAAGGTGCTATATAAATATGTAAGACTTTACTTTCAGAAAAAGATAATGTTCTTTCCTGCACTGATCCCTACTAATTCTGTATTGATCCAAAGGCAACTAAATGCTAAGAAATGTATAGAAAATATAAGTCTGTGTGTATTATAGGGATGTATGTGACAAGTGTAAACCAAATGAACTGAAGCAATAATGAACAGTTATTGGGGGACATGATAAAGAGATTATATTAAACTTATATTTGACCATAAAATCCTTTTTATGGCTTGCTAAAACTGGGCTCACTGTAAAAGCCTGATCCAACTTAATCGCTAATCTTTATGGTATGGTGCCAACTGTTGGTTCCCTGGACCACAGACGAGGGACAGAAAATACTTGCTTTGAGGATATATATGCTGTTGATTTCACAAGAAAAATTCTTAAAATATAGCCTGGAGACCCAGTGAAAGAGTTGAAAGGGAAATGGAGTATCATGTTTCCTACTCACATTTTACTTGGCTGCCAGAAGGAAGAATGAATTTCTCAAGAGCAGTATGAATGTGAAAGATCAGAACTTCCATGTGGTGGGGAAAATGGGATTCTTTCAGTGCAACGAACCACCCAAGACTTAGTAGCTTAAAACAGTCACCATTGGCCAGGCACAATGGTTCATGCCTCTCACTGCTTTGGGAGGCCAGGGCAAGAGGATCATTGAGGACAGTAGTTTGAGATCAAACTGGGCAACAGAGTGAGACCCCATCTCTACAAAAAATGCAAAACGTGGCTGGGCATGGTGGTGTGCAATTGCAGTCCTCAGCTAATCGGGAGGCTGAGGAAGGAGGATGCTTGAGCCCAGGAGTTGGAGGTTACTGTGGGCTTTGGTTGGACCAGTGCACTCCAGTGTAAAAACAAAACAAAAACCACCATTTATTTAGCTCCCAATTCTATGGGTTGGGTCAGCTTGGGTGGTTCTTCAGGCCTGGTCCTGCCCAGCCTGGCTTGCTTACCAGTTTGCAATGAGCCAGCTGGTTGGTTGGGCCAGCCTGTGTGCTCTCCAGCCATCCCCAATCCTTCCAGCTGCCCAGCTGGGCTTGCTCTCATGCTGGTGTCAGGCCTGAGAACAAGCAGAAACCTGCCAGGCTTCTTGAGGCCTAGGCTCGAACTGGCACACTTACTTCTGCCACATTCTGTGGGCCAAAGCAGGTCACAAAGCCAGCTCAGATCCAAGGGATAGCAAAACAGCCCCCCTCCCACTATGGGAAGAGTTGCAGAGTGACAGGGTTGGGAGTGGACACACAGAAGGGAAGATGGCCCATTGTCACCTTCCAGCATAGGGCACTGCGTGGAGTAAAATGCTGCAGAGAAGAGTGCATCTGGGAACAAAAGAGGAACATGTCCCAGCCCCCAACCAGTGAGTAGTTCCTTCTCTGGTGATTGAGTTCCCTTCATGCTCAGCACTGTAGACTCCCACAATGGGAGGGACACCCACATTCATATTTAAATGCTGTGTCAAAATTTCTTCCAAAGTCAAATATAGGTGATCTGGGAATGGAGCCCACTGTACTACTTCTGCATTCCTTTGGCACAGAAAATTTCAAAGTGACGACTTCTAAAATCAAAAAAGCTGGTGAGATACCTTGGGGTAGAGGAACCTTCATGGAAACAGATAAAAGACCTAGTGTTCACCGTTCACCCCAGCTCAACAAACAAAATCTTGTTATGATTATACAAGGGTGAGCTTGAGCATAGGAGCTGTCTTTGGTGGAAGAAACGTGGTTTTGAGTTGTCTGCTCTTTGACACCCTCTGATGGCATATGACTCTAGCGTGTCTGCTTCGGGGTGTTCTGGGCTCAAGTTGCATAACCCACTTTTGGAAGAGGAGATAAAGCATTCAAAGCTCTAAACACCGTTGATGAGTCATCATGTTTATTGAGTGTGCTTAGTGGCGGGGCCCTGAGTACCTGGGACAAATGAGGAGCGCTGGAGGGTTCGGAGCAGGGAAGACGAGACGATGCTCTGCTCCAAGCACCCGAGGCTTCTGGGAAGGGGCTGTCTTTGGAATTTGTGACCCCCAGAGCCCTGTGAGTGAACAGTCTTACAACGACTAAAGCTTTGCCAGAGAAGAGGCAGGACCTGATATTGGGCAATGGCTGTGCCAGCAGTGAGCACAGATCACGTGTAGGTTTTCAGATCACTG